CCCCCCAGCCCCATCATCCCACCAGGAGCCACAGGATGCTGCGCCTTCGCCAACTCCCCACACCTTTTCAAGGGCAGCGTCGGCCTCCTGGTGTACGAGGCAGAAGCCTTCACCTTGGCCATCCTCTTCTCCAACCCTTACAACTACAGCTTTTACTACATGGAGTTTGCCGTGGAGATCTCCCCGGAAAAAGCCCACCTGGGCTTACTGGAGGATGTCTATGAAAGGATGTACAGGGGTTTACCTGCGAATCCCCAAAACAGCGGCATGCTCCAGATCGTCAAGCTCCACGCGACCCAGGAGACCATGGTGGTCTCTGCTGGTGGCACAAAGGTCATGGCCACCATGTCCAGCGCTGCCAAGTCCGTCATTAAAGTAGTGGTGGAGAACGAGGACAGCCCTCCCCCCTATCCAGAGGCAATCCCACCCCTTTGCTTCGTGAGCTACGACCCAAGGAAAGGGAGAAGATTCCAGAAGAAGGAAGGGATGAATGGTCCCCACTTCCTGTAGATGCTGCCCCTCAAGAAAAAAACAACCCAAAAATGCTGAAGTAGAGCAGCCTTGTTTTGTTTTCCTTCTCTTTTTGTTCTTCCTTGTGGCTGGAATACGCAATGGCAGCCAAGCCAGCAAATCATGACAATAAAAAAAGCATTGCTGATAACAATAACAGAAAAGCCTGGTGGTGTCTTGCTGTGGATGAGGGGGGAGGTTGGGTCTGATCTCTGCTGGGTTTTGTGGGGAGGAATGGTGCAAGGTAGCCCTGAAATGCAAATCCGAGCCCATGGGCCATCATAGCAGCTCGGTTCCATGGAGTGGGAAGACCTGAACGGGAAAATCCATTGGATTTATGCTCCTTAACACTTGGGTGATGTTGGCAAAGGGACCTGGTGCTGCTTTGGGCCACCAGGATGGTCATCAACCGTGCCTCTGTGAGCCTGGGAGTCATCCAGGACTGGTGGATAACCGAGCAGCTGGGAAATCTTCAGAGACGAATGAGAAGGGTTGATTATCAGAGAGAAAAGCATCTTTTTAATTAATTAATGGCCTTCCAGGGCCAACGGCTATCGTTACGGCAATGGAGAGGTGCTGTTGGTTGCTTGCCTACGCAGAGCAGGTGGTGCTGAGGCAAAGGGATGCAATTTGGGGCAGATTCCCCCTGCCGTGCCCCCACTACAATCTTTGTAGCCAGGAGTTTTGTCTGCGGTCCAACAAGAAGCCATCCGGACGCAAGAGATCCTGGAGGACTTTTCCTTTGTGAAACGCTGGGCTCTTCCACTGGGGGATGAATGCAGTGCTTCAAGCTGGCCAGCTGGACTCGCTTCCCTGCAAGCAGGATGTGGCAGTGGATGTGTGAATGTCTTTTTATTTGGACCATACCTGCGTGGCTGAGGATCCACGCCAGGCGAGTGCAGCGTCTTGGGTGCGAGAAGCCCGCTTTGCGCCTCCTGATCCCAACCTTGGTGTGCTCAGCTTCAGCTGCAGCGCGCCCACAGCTTCAGGATTGGAAGCTTGTGTTGAATGGGCACCGTGCAGCAGGGTGGTGTTGGTTGGGGTAACTCTTACCTGCCTGCAGGAAGAGGTGGAAGCTCAAAGCCAGGAGGGAGATGACCATGAGGGCCAGGCTGAGTGAGATTCCCAGCCCTAGGAGAAGGGAAGCAGACGGAAAGTGGGGAGGGGGAACTGATTGATTCTCACCAAAAATGGGGAAGACACCAAATTTGGTGCCTTGGACATGGCTTTGCATGGAAAACCAGCAGGAGTGTTGGATCCCTGCAGCACTGCCGGAAGGGAAAAGTGCTTTTCCTGATCTGCAACCCAAGATCTTCCTCTGGCTGGGGGGAAATTGTCCCTTCCTCACCCAGTTCACCCCAGGCTGCCGTTGGGGAGTGATGGGAAGGTGAAGTGAACTGAAACACCTCTCAGCTCCTTCACGCTGAAGGTCCACACCCTCCCTCCCAACGAGGAATTTCCATTTGCATGGGCAGCCCAGCCTGAAGGCACCTCAGAGACTGGAAACCCAAACGCCTTGGATAAAATTCATCCATGATAAAACAAAGATGCTCACCTTCAGCTGGCAGCCCCAGGGTGCTGGTGGTGCTGCTGTTCCTCAGCTCACCCTTCCTACCTGGGCAACAAACAGACAGAAAAAGGGTCCTGACCTCAAAACCCACCTCATGCCCACCAAAATGCAGACAAGCCGCGGTGTTTGAGTTGGCCAAGACCCAACTGGGTTGGCACGGCAGAGGATCGGGGTTAAGCAGGGGCATATTGGGAAGACCGTGGAAGAGAACCCTACTGGAAGAGGTGTTAAGGCACGTGAGGGATGAGAGAGTGATCTGAGATGCCCAGCGTGGCTCCACCAAGGGAAGGTCATCTGTTGGCCCCCTGTGATGGAGTGATGGCGTTGGTGGACAAAGGGAAGGCGACTGATGTCAGCTACCTGCACTGCTGCAAGACCGTTTGACGCTGTCCTGCAGCACATTCTAATCTCTAAATTGGAGAGGGGTGGGTTTGAAGGGTGGGCTGTTGTGAAACAAGGACTCGGTTGGATGGTTGCAGACATGGCTGCGATTCAATGGCTCCGTGTCCAGGTGGATGCAGTGACGGGTGATGTTCATCCCTGGAGGTGTTTGAGGCCAGGTTGGAATGGAGCCCACAGCAATCTGATCTAGTATTTGATCTAGAGGTTGGCAAGGCTGCCTGTGGCATTGGGATTGGAACCTGATGATCCTTGAGGCCTCTTCCAACCCAATCCTGTGATTCTACCATCCCTTCATGGAACCGGTCCCGTTGGTCAAGACCCTACTGGGTTGGCCATGAGGAGACCCTAAAATCATGCAAGCAGGGGCAACCACTGTTGGTTTATCTCAACGGCTGCTGCGCTCGGAGTGGGGCAGGGGCCACCTCCTGCTGCCCACGCTTACCTCCGGTGGTCAGGAGCCACGGGATGCTCAAACTTGAGATCTTGATGTGCCCGACGTTGCTCCGCCGTCGGTACCCGCAGCAGTAGGTTCCACTGCTCTCTGCAGAAAGCTGGATGGCGAGCGTGGCACTGAACTGCGTGGGACCCACGGGGTGGTTCTGCAGCACCACGCCGTTCTTGCAGAAGAAGATGTGGGTGACGGGGAGATGGGAGAAAACCAGGCAGCGGGCGAGGACCAAACTGCCTTCCTGAGCCAAAGAGATGTTTGGTAGGAGGGCTGGTGGCGGGAAATCACCTGCAACAGCAAAAGGGACGCGGCACCAGTGAGGTGGTTTGCAATGGGGGGGGTTGTGGGTAATGTTTTCTGCCTTGGAGCACCCTGCTGTCCCCACGGCTGTGAAAAGGAAACCGCAGACCGCAAAGCTGAGCAGTGCCTTCCTCTGTCTGCAGACGGGACGCTGCTGGGATTTCCCAGCCTTGCTGAAGCATCCTGCTCCGTTTATCGTGGTCTCGTGGTGCCACCCATGGAGGCTCAAGGCTTGAATCATCCTCCTGTGCCACCTCTAAGGCCGTGCACACGAGGGTGTTGCGCGTGGAAGGCTCTTCCAAGCACTGTGTGCACTCACCTAAGGGGCTGCAGGTCTCTGGCTCCATCCCACCAGCACCTTTGTGGGGCAGATGGGGTGAGTAGGAGACGGTCTTCGAGGCTGGATGGGGGCGGAAAAGGGAAACATCTACTTGGGGTGGGAGATGACACCTTGGGGAAGCCTTCTCATCTCCCAGTATGGGAGATTTCCCAAGAGAAGCTCAAATCCTCCACATAGAACCATTAAGGTTGGAAAAGACCACTCAGGTCAATCCAGCCGCCAGCCCACCCCACCATGCCCAGCAAAACTCAGTGCGGAGATGGGCGCCCAAAAAGGACAGACTCAAACCCACCCCATTCCGTCCCGTAGAACCGTTACGGTTGGAAAAGACCTTTGAGGTGCCCCCAGTCCAGCCATCAGCCCAACCCCACCATGCCCACCAAACCTCAAAGACCCCCACGGATGGTTGACCCAACTTCAACCTCCCCTGGCCCAACCGTTGGCCATTGACTCCCATCCACAACGTCGCCCCTTCCAGCCCTCACCAACCTTCAAGGCGGCCCAACAGCAGCAGGATTCCTGCAGCCCCGACCAACCAGCTCCTCCCCATGCCTGGTGTTCATCAGAGCACAGCGTTCAGACGGAGTGACCCGAAATCAACTCTGCAAAACCCCAGCGCTGTGGTTTCCGCTGTAGGAACTCCAACCACCTTCCACGTTGCTGGGGGAAAAAACACGATTTCACAACTTCTCCTTCTTATTTTTCTTTTCCTTGCTTCTCCAGGGCCTGGTAGACCAGCTCAACGTGGAGCTGAGGTTTATATGTTATAACATTGACATGCATGGGGTCTGCTCCAAAAGTGATGCCTCTCATTCCACGGCGTTGACACACAACGTCAGAGACGGATGTTGGTGGCGTGGCTGTAGAGGTTGGGCTTTCCCACCAATATTCTCTCATAGCACAAAACACGTAGCATCTCAGTTCACACACCAGATTAACACCAAGGAGCTGCATACAGAGCTGAGTATTTCAGTGCATCGGAAATCAATGGCAGCAACGCTGGAACATCGCAACGTTTGCACCAGGTGGGTCCCACAGCAACCCAAGGCTCAAAGTTCCACAGCCAGGCCCAAGAAGAGAACAACCTCTCTCTTACAACACAATACCACCAGCCCCCCCCATGCCATTTTGAAGACTGTAGAGCCAAATTGCCCATCTTGGCTGTCCCACCACATCCACCCACTGTATTGTGCAGGTTCTGACTTAGGGCTGATGAAAGATGGACAGCAGGGGCGACATTTTCCTAGCAATGGCACCATCGTTATGGAACAGCACACCCATGGGTGTGAGATGGCTCCTAGGGGGTCCCAATAGCATTATAAGGGGGGGTCCTGGTGTTTTCTGAGGAGCCCCAGTGGGATTCAGCAGGTCCTGAACCACAGCCAGAGTGAACTCACTGCCACCTATGGGGTTCCAATGGATCCCAGGGGGGTCCTGGTGTCACCCATCAGGGACATTCCTGGGGGGGATCCCAATATAGGGGGAGAGGGGTTTCCTGGTGCACCATTGCTGCCTCTCACTGCACATCAGCTCCATGGACCCCCATGGGAAGGGGCGACCCCCCCCCTCAATCCAGAGCCTCAACCACACCCCACAAAAAAAGGAACAGGCAACAGAACATGGTAGCAAAAGAGTTTATTTTACAGGTTTAATAAAATAAATATAACATAAATTAAGGAATAAAAATAAATCAATCAATAAATTACAGTGGGAGGGGGGAGGTCAGCCCTTATATTTTCCCCCCCTCCCCACTCTGAGCATGCAAAGTGCCCCCCATCATTGAGGTATTCCCACTCCACATGGGAGTCCTGGGGTTTCCCCATCGGTCAGGGGGTTCCTCATCAGCAGGGTGGTCCTGGGGGTCCCCAGAGGCTCTCTCCTTTCTGCAGCCTTTCCCAAACGCGTTCCCGGTGCGAGGGCTGCAGGATGGGCTGGAGGACGGGGCTGAGCAGGGCACAGCGGTGGGCGAAGCGCAGGCGATCACGGGCCAGGGTCTCCCAAGGACCCCGACGGGCATCAGGGTCCGGGGGAGGCTGGAGGAGGAAAACCTGGACCTGAAGGCTGAACCGAACCTGGGGAGAAGAGGGAAGGGAAAAGAAAACAACAAGGAGGGGGGGTTGATGTCATCCTGATGGCGTCATGGGTGATGCAAGAGGCACGGGACTGCCCTGTGACTCCTTCCCCCCACCCATTCCATTTAAGGCTCAGCTTCTTGGTGATGCTGGGGGGGTTTCTTCCCTTCGGAGTCCCCACAGTTCTGGTGGGAGGTTCCCACCTCACCCAACTTCCAAATCCTGACCCCAAATCCCCACCCACGGTGGCGCTCACTCTCTTAGTGTTGCGGGGATGATCCTCGTTGCTTGCGGGTTCTTCGGTGTTAAGGGGTTCCACAGTTTTGGGAGGGTCCCCATCTGCCGGGGGGGTCTCGGGGGTGTCCCCGTCCCACCCCTGCTCATCATCGTCATCTTCGTCGGGCTCCGGACGGTAGAAAAGGGCATGGAGGATGGGGGGCTGCAGGGGGTCCTCAGCCGCCATCGGAGGGGCACAGGGGGGTGACATATTCTGAAGGCGAAAACACTAAAATGAGGGGGGGGGAGGTAATCCAACCTCCTATTAACCCAGGACCCCCCCGGCAGACCCCAAAATCGCCCGATCCCACCCCTCTGCCTATGGGACTCTCTACATTCCGGGGGACCCCCCCCAATTTCTCAGACCCCCTTCAATGTCTGGGACCTTCCCGAGTCTAATCACCCCCCATCCTCCAGGACCCCCCAGCCCTCACCTGAGGCTCGCACTGCTCGCTCCGCATCCGCCTCCATCGCTGCTCTCTGTTCCACCACTGCTCTCTGTCCCATCGCTGCTGTGCAAGTGAGGAGCGAGCGCCTCCGCCCCTCCATATAAGGGCGGCGATGATGTCATTCGGGGAGGGGCCTCACTCCGCAGACGGCTTCCCATTGGTTGTCGAGCAGCGTGAGGGGGCGTGGCTACTCAATAAACCCTCTCCTATTGGAAAGGAGGCGGTACTTCCGGAGGAGGGGGGGGGAGAGGGAGGGCTGCGACTTTCGGATTGCGACTTTCGGATTGCGACTTTCGGATTGCGACTTCCGGGTTGCGTCTTCCGGTTGTTCGTTGCGCGGGTTCCGGAAGTCGTTCAAAGGCACTTCCGGGCGGCTGAGGGAGCAGCGGGATGAACGCTGGCGGCTGGCTGCGGGCTGCGGATCTCAGCGTGCGCTCCGGCGGAGCCCTGAGGTACGCCTGCAGATCCTTAATTGCGCTCTGCCGCGCCCTGAAGGCCTTCTGTCCTGACGCAAAGGCCTCGGAGGCTGAGGTACGCCCGTAATTGCGCTCTGCGGTGCCACGGAGGCCGCCTGTTCTGCCATAAAGGCCTTCGAGGCCCACCCCAAGGCGCTGGCACAGCGTTAAGCGCCCTCTGTGCGCTGCAGGCCGTCTCAATGCACACTAATCGAATCCAGCACGCTCTGCTGGGCACCAGAACCTGCGTGAAGCTGCCTGATGCCCTCTTGAGGGCTCCAGAGGCTGCCCACCGTGCCCTGTTTAACACTGGAGCCCCACAGGCCTCCAAGAGCCCCCCCCACTGTGCTTTGGGGACCCCTGAGCGCTCTGGAGGTGTCCGTTTTTCTTCCCAGAATCGAGGGTGACTGAATGCAGCCCCACGGCTCCCATGGGGCGCATCCCGTGGCGTCTCATTCAGCCTGGAGAAAAGAAAACTGAGGGGTGAATCTCACTGCAGCCTTTCAGTACCTGAAAGGAGCCTACAAACAGGAGGGGAAGAGAGTTGATTAACTCTTGGAAAGGGGAGATAACTGCAGGGCAAGGGATGCATTAAAAAGAGCGTGGCCAGCAGGTCGAGGGAGGTGATCCTTCCCTCTGCTCTGCCCTGGTGAGGCCTCATCTGGAGCACTGCGTCCAGTTCTGGGCTCCCCAGCACAAAACAGACAGGGATCTCTTGGAAAGGGTCCAGCGGAGGGCCACAAAGATGGTAAAGGGCCTGGAGCATCTCTGCTATGAGGAAAGGCTGAGTGAACTGGGTCTGTTCAGCCTGGAGAAAAGACTGAGAGGGGACCTGATCCAGGTCTATAAATATCTGAGGTGTGGGGGGCAGAATGGCGAGGCCGGACTCTTTTCAGTGGTGAGTGGAGACAGGACAAGGGCCGGAAACTGCAGCATAGGAAGTTCTGCACCAATGTGCAAAGGAA